TTTATCCTCCTCCTCTTCAAGGTGAAGTAATATTCAGCTTTATCCTCCTCCTCTTCAAGGAAAAGTAATATTCAGCTTTATCCTCCTCCTCTTCAAGGAAAAGTAATATTCAGCTTTATCCTCCTCCTCTTCAAGGAAAAGTAATATTCAGATTTATCCTCATCCTCTTCAAGGAGAAGTAATATTCAGCTTTATCCTCCTCCTCTTCAAGGAGAAGTAATATTCAGCTTTATCCTCCTCCTCTTCAAGGAGAAGTAATATTTAGCTTTATCCTCCTCCTCTTCAAGGAGAAGTAATATTCAGCTTTATCCTCCTCCTCTTTAAGGAGAAGTAATATTCGGCATTATCCTCCTCCTCTTCAAGGTGAAGTAATATTCAGCTTTATCCTCCTCCTCTTCATGAAAAAAGCAATATTCAGCTTATCCTCCTCTTCAAGGAAAAGAGTATCTAGCTTTATCCTCTCCTTCAAGCGAGCAGCAATATTCAGCTTTACCTCCTCTCTCTGTATGAGAAGTATGATTCAGCTTTTATCCTCCTCTTCTGGAGAAGTAATATTCTCAGCTTTATCCTCCTCCTTCTTCAAGGGAGAAGCATTATTCATTTTATCCTCCTCCCTCTTCAAGCGAGGAAGTAATATTCAGCTTTTATCTCTTCCTCCTCCTTCAAGGAAAAGTAATATTCAGTTTATCCTTTCAAGGAGAAGTAATTATTCAGGCTTTATCCTCTTCCTCTTTCAAGGAGAAGTACATTCAGCTTATCCTCCTCCTCTCTTCAAGGAGAAGCAATATTCAGCTTTTTTATCCTCTCTCTTCAAGGAGCAGCTAATATTCATTATCCTCCTTCCTCTTCAAGGAGGAAGCACATTCCGGCTGCATCTCCTCCTCCTCATCTTCCTCTTCCTCCTCCTATCTCCTCCTCCTCCTCCTCCCTCCCTCCCCCTCCTCCTCCTTTCTCCTCCTCCTCCTCCTATTCTTCTCCTATTCTTCTCCTCCTCCTCCTCCTCCTCCTCCTCCTCCTCATCTTCCTCTTCCTCTCCTACTCTTCTCCTCCTCCTTTTTTCCTTCCCTAACACTTACGGCATTTGTGATTTTAATAACACAATGAGCGTATAGAAAAAATGTCTTTTCAGTATACGAGTGATCATCATCTAACAAGATTATGAAGATAAGCATTACGTGGGTGTAATCTTACGTGGTTGTAATCTTTAAGTGATTCAAATTTTTACGTGGTTCTAATTCTTACGTAGTTCTAATCTTTACTTGGTTCTAATCATTACGTGGTTCTAATCTTTACGTGGTTCAAATAATTTCGTGGTTCTAATCTTTACGTGGTTCTAATCTTTACGTGGTTCAAATAATTTCGTGGTTCTAATCATTACCTGGTTCTAATCCTTACGTGGTTCAAATAATTTCGTGGTTCTAATCTTTACGTGGTTCTAATCTTTACGTGGTTCTAATCTTTACCTGGTTCTAATCATTACGTGGTTCTAATCTTTACGTGGTTCAAATAATTTCGTGGTTCGAATCTTTACGTGGTTCTAATCTATACGTGGTTCTAATCTTTACGTGGTTCTAATCTTTACCTGGTTCTAATCATTACCTGGTTCTAATCTTTACGTGGTTCTAATCTTTACCTGGTTCTAATCATTACCTGGTTCTAATCTTTACGTGGGTCTAATCTTTACGTGGTTCTAATCTTTACGTGGTTCTAATCATTACGTGGTTCTAATCTTTAAACAGTTCTAATTTTTACTTGGTTCTAATCTTTACATAGTTCTAATCATGACGTGATTCGAACCATTACGTGGTTCTAATCATGACCTGGTTCTAATAATGACGTGGTTCGAATCTTTACGTGGTTCTAATCATGACGTGGTTTAAATCTTTACGTGGTTCTAATCATGACGTGGTTCTAATAATGACGTGGTTCTAATCATTACGTGGCTCTAATCTTTACGTGGTTCTAATCATTACGTAGTTCTAATCATGACGTGGTTCGAATCATTACGTGGTTCGAATCTTTACGTGGCTCTAATCATTACGTGGTTCTATTCATATATCAGAACGAAGGTGAGTAGAGATTCTTAGGAGGCAATTTTATATTACGTGTTCAGGTAATTACCCCCCCCCCCCACCACGTGCTGGAGGGCAAGGTATCACACGTGTATTGGTTTACGTTCTTCACCTTAACGAAATCTTCTCGTAGATTTTTTATATAAACTTTTTGGAACTTTCAATACCAGTAGAGTAAGACGAGAAATAAATATCACGAGAAAGAAGTATTTTTCTGTAGTATTCAACCTGCACTCTCTCTCTCTCTCTCTCTCTCTCTCTCTCTCTCTCTCTCTCTCTCTCTCGTGGGCTGGGGAATTGTATGTCCCCAGGGATGCAAAAATTTAAGCCCAAGAGAGAGAGAGAGAGAGAGAGAGAGAGAGAGAGATTCCTGTGAAAATTTTTTAAGGTTGATGGAACTTTGCCTTGAAGAATATACACAGGTAGGAAGGGTCAACAGGTGGTATAGGAGGAGCTGTTAAAAGATTGTCAATAGATTGTTTTCCGAGAGATTGTAACTGGAGTGTATTGAAGGTGTCTATTGTCACTCAGAGATTTAATTTGGTTTACGTTGAAGTGATTATGACTGAGACAAAAAAGCAGTGGAGGAAGAAAGAGACAGGGGAAAGAGACAGGGCAGAACAGGATGTTTAAGGGTGTATAATGAAGACGTGTTGAAGGACTGTAGATCATGGACAGGAGGACAAGAACTATGACTTGAGAATTAATTAAGAAACAACAACAACAACAACAACAACAAGGAGAAGAAGAAGAAGAAGAAGAAGACTTTGATATGTAGAGTCATGTTATACGGATGTTTAAAGCTGGACAGGGAAAGGAATTAGAACAGCTGGAATTTTCTGACATCTAGACTTCGAATAATAGGAAAAAAATACATAACTAGGAAGACACACGAATCTCTCTCTCTCTCTCTCTCTCTCTCTCTCTCTCTCTCTCTCTCTCTCTCTCTTAATGCGTTGTTATTTTGGTGTCATTATCTCGAGATCACTGGGTGTACTAATCACCTCACAGGCCGTTGGTTATTTATCTTATATCATAACTCTTATCATTACTATATTAAATCAGACATATATTGTTTTCTATTCACCTTTTGCGTATCTAAATTAAATTGTTGCTAGGCATAAAATATGTACTTTGGGATAATATAATTTTTCTCTGGGGTAACATCGAGGAGTCATTAAATGATCAATACTGAAGCCCTGGATCACATCACTTGGTAACACAGCTCTAAAACATTCATGGTTCATTGTAACTATTGGTCGATCACATACCAACAACCTCCCACCAAAAATGTGTATACAAATATCAAATCTATATTGAATTAGTTCTGTGCAATATCTCGGTTTGAACTAATATGTAAACCAAATTTTCTGATTTTAGCAATTTTAACTTTAATTGGCAGCACAAGGTTACGAATCCTTATTAAAATACAATGTCGATTCCTATATCAGCTATTCAAATAAACCCAATGTAAACTACTGTACACTGATCGCCTTAATATCTAGGAATAACCTTTAATCTCAGTATCTATGTGGATATATTTACCTATTCAGGGATTATTTGTTAAAGAGTATACAATTAAAATACTTAACACTCCCTAATTATACAGTTATATGTTTTGTCTTTAAATTTCTCACAACTTGTACGATAATAAATACTCTTACATTATACACCACGAAACACGAGAATGTAATTTGGGAAGTGTCTCGAATACACGCACTCATGAGTCATTGTTCCCGAGATATTAACCAAATGCATTATTAACCGTGTCTGGGACTGCCTGCTCCTGTTCCTGCCTGATGCAGCTGGGAATGTATATGATAAATTACCACGCGACGACATACAGTATGTTTTCAATAGACACAAACAAAATTATAAAGAAAAAAGGAAAGAATATTTATTCAACAAATCTTACTATATAACACAAACATCCACAGGTCTTCTTGATATCTGACACAAATCCACAAATACCCACAACAGTCATGATATATGACACAAAGATCCACAAGTCTTCTTATATGACACAAACATTTACAAGTCTTCCTATATGACACAAACAGTCACGTCTTCACATATGACACAAACATCCACAAATCTCCATATATTACACAAACATCCACAAATCTCCAGATATGACACAAACAGTAACACGTCTTCATATATGACACAAACACCCACAAGTCTTCATATATGACTCAGTCACATGTCTTCATATATGACAAACATCCACAAGTCTTCATATATGACACAAACAGTCACATGTCTTCATATATGACAAACATCCACAAGTCTTCATATATGACACCAACAGTCACACGTCTTCATATGTGACACAAACATCCACAAGTCTCCATATATGACACCAACAAGAGGAACGAAGACTTACTGAAATACAACTTCATTTCGATGCTACAATGAACCAATGTACTTTAACAGCTGAGGTCTTTAAACACAGACCACAAGGTCAATTTCTTAACCAGAGAAAATGAATTAAAAGTGAAGGAAGACGATGAGTGTCATCTTCTGAGGCTCGTGACAAGACCCGGCGCTTTGACTCAACAGAGATATACATATAGACCTCCTCCTCGGTCTCTTGCCTCCCCACACTCTCACCTCACCTCGCCTAACCTAGACTGGAGACAGTCTATTAGGCATCTCTCCACTGTGTACTGTACGCCCTCCATCCTGCGTCACGACCCAGGGCGCTGTATCCACGTGTCTCTCTCGATAAAGAACAAGTAAAAGTGATAACGAAAAACTCCTCTGTTGGAGTCCAGCAACTTTTGTTGTGTGTCAAGTCAGGAACTTTGCCTTCCGCCACCCAACTGGCCGGAACCTGAGAAGAATCTTAAACAATACCACGAAAGGCCTGGATATTTTACTGTGGGGTTTCTGAGGTAAGACACTCGCCTGTCCTCGCTCACTTACCTTCGCTTGTGTAACTCTATTTTGTATACTATATACATGACTTTCCTTTGGTGCACTAAATACATTACGTTCTTTTGGTGCACTATATTCATTACGTTCTTTTGGTGCACGATATACATAACGTTCTTTTGGTGCACTATATACATTACTTTCTTTTGGTGCACGATATACATAACTTTCTTTTGGTGCACTATATACATTACGTTCTTTTGGTGCAATACATACATTACGTTCTTTTGGTGCACGATATACATAACGTTCTTTTGGTGCACTATATTCATTACGTTCTTTTGGTGCACTATATACATTACGTTCTTTTGGTGCACTACATACATTACGTTCTTTTGGTGCACGATATACATAACGTTCTTTTGGTGCATTATATTCATTACGTTCTTTTGGTGCACTATATACATTACTTTCTTTTGGTGCACGATATACATAACTTTCTTTTGGTGCACTATATACATTACGTTCTTTTGGTGCAATACATACATTACGTTCTTTTGGTGCACGATATACATAACGTTCTTTTGGTGCACTATATTCATTACGTTCTTTTGGTGCACTATATACATTACGTTCTTTTGGTGCACTACATACATTACGTTCTTTTGGTACACGATATACATAACTTTCTTTTGGTGCACTATATTCATTACGTTCTTTTGGTGCACTATATACATTACTTTCTTTTGGTGCACGATATACATAACTTTCTTTTGGTGCACTATATACATTACGTTCTTTTGGTGCACTACATACATTACGTTCTTTTGGTGCACGATATACATAACTTTCTTTTGGTGCACTATATACATTACGTTCTTTTGGTGCACTATATACATTACGTTCTTTTGGTGCACGATATACATAACGTTCTTTTGGTGCACTATATACATTACGTTCTTTTGGTGCACTCTATACATTACGCGCCTCTTTCGTTTTAGTATGCAATTTTCATTTTAAATTTATGCAGAAAGTTTAAAAAAAATTTCTAAGAAGTCTGTTTACAATGGTTGATGTACGCTTTATATACTGTAACTCAAAATGCTGTAGAATCGTTGACTCAGACATAGTATAGCTCTCCCACGTTCATAGGATGTATCCTGATTAAGAAGTAAGGAGTTCGGTGGTGCTGGGAGGTGAGAGATGAACTGTCTGATGACCTTACAAAAATCATAACTTACAAACTGCTGTTTTTCTATTGTTCTTTGACGATGGGTATTACTTCAACACGACTGATAAACTTTTAATCTTGTGTTCGAGTACAGTACTATGGCTTAGGGTGATGCTCTGACTGAATCGTAATCACAAAATTCTCGAGAATGACCTTTATAGACAAGGCAAGAGTGAGGATGCAACATTTGCCTCCTTCTTGATGCAACACTCACCACCTCTCTCATGATACAACACTCACCACCTCTCTCATGATGCAACACTCGCCTCCCTCATCAAGCAACACTCACCTCCTGCATGATGTAACACTCACCTCCCTCATGATGCAACACTCCCCTCCCTCATGATACAACACTCCCCTCCCTCATGATGCAACACTCCACTCCCTCATGATGCAACACTCACCTCCCTCATGATGTAACACTCACCTCCTCATGATGCAACACACACCTCCCTCAAGATGCAACACTCACCTCCCTCATGATGCAACACTCACCTCCATCATGATGCAACACACACCTCCCTCATTATGCAACACACACCTCCCTCATTATGCAACACTCACCTCCCTCATGATGCAACACTCACCTCCTCATTATGCAACATCACCTCCTCATTATGCAACACTCACCTCCTCATTATGCAACACTCACCTCCTCATTATGCAACACTCACCTCCTCATTATGCAACACTCACCTCCCTTATGATGCAACACTCACCTCCCTCATGATGCAACACTCACCTCCTCATTATGCAACACTCACTTCCTCATTATGCAACACTCACCTCACTTTTATAAAAGAGTCACGAGTAAATTCACTTTCTATAAAATTACTGAATTGTTACGTAAAAACATAACCATTTTTATATATGCATTTCCTTTTATATTTTTCTTTCACCGTCACAAAATATCGACAAGTGCCCCTCCTTTTCAATTTGAACTTCGTACATTCCGCGTGACAAACATGAACCGCGTGTCTCTGCCCTACCACTTTCACTCGATTTTTTGGCAAGAGTTGTGAACGTGTGCGACCCACTACAGGAGAGGCGGCTGTACAATGTATCACGTATATTTTCCCTATCTTCTCTCTTTAATTAAATATGAACTTCGCCTTTTTCCCTTTTCATGAATGTGTTATATATATGTCTTGTGTTTTGTGCCTTTGTTCCCTGAGTTGTGTTTTATGTATCAGGTCCCTGTATTATCTTGTCTAACCTCCATATTTACATTTAATATCAAAATCTCCAGTACCATGTACAGTGAATGTATCACAGACTATATTTCACCTTGGACAGCACCACCCACTCCCCTTGGCCAACAATACTACATTGGCCAACAACTCAAACTTGTCCAACAACACTAGCTTGGCCATAACCACCACCGTGGAGAGCACCACGCCACACCTTGGCAAGCACCACCACCTTGTCCAGCACCATCACCTTGGCCAGCACCACCACCATGGCCAGCACCACCACTTTGTCCAGCACCATCACCTTGGCCAGCACCACACCTTGGCCAACACCATCACTTTGACCAGTACCATCACGTTGGCCAGCTCCATCACCTTGGCCTGCACCACCACCATGGCCAGCACCACCGTCTTGGCCAGCACCAATACCCTGTCTAGCTCCATCACCTTGGCCAGCACCACCACCTCGGCCAGCTGGTTGGCGTGAGCCCCACACAATATAAGGTGTTCCCGGTGCAGGTGGCTGAGCTGCTGCGGCTGTCTTCATTACTGCTTATTGTCTCGACATTTTCCCCGTCATTTTATCCTCCTCTAACTCTCTTATACTTTCACTCCCAAGGATGGAACAAAGCTCTACGCTATTTCTTCCTTCTTCAATCTTCTTTCAATTCAAGAAGTGAGTCACGGTAAAATACACTATACTTTTACTAGGTAGAACAAATGTTATTTTCACGAGTACATAACAGAATTCAATAATATATCATCCTGGTCATCATCATTTCAAAACTTCACATTATCCTCTGAATTCTTGTATCATTCTAGAACACGGCAAATATCCTGTCTGGCATTATTCCCAAAATCCCTCAATAACCTGGCACTGGCACCCTTCCCACTAATGAAAACATCCAAGACGTCATCATCCCAGGACAATATCATCATCCTTATTCTAACATGCTGTATCATCCTACTCGTTATCATGCCACGTTATTAAAAATCCGGTATTATGTTACTCTGGTATTTACTTGAGATCAAAATACCTCTCATAATTGGGTTGTCTTTCTGTGTATTCATCATTGACGCCACCCACTATCATAGGGCAGGTCCCTTTATTAAGTGGTGAGATACATGGTACTCGTCCGGTCCAACGAACTCACCATGCAAATAACTTCTCCTTTAGTGACTTCTCTGTTGTATGAGTCTACAGTTTGTTTTTCTACTTATATGTTTATCTAAAGTTTTACAATCCGGTTTAACGATGTAGTAATGGTATTAGTCTTTGTCCTTCACGCTATTCATTCAGCTGGAGACTCACTCAGTGTTCAGTGGACCAGCCAGCGCATATCACCGACACTCACTCATGCCCTAGTCACCCTGTAGTCTATAACCCAATGCCTCTTTATCACATCAGACACCAAACGTCACATGACCTCGTTTCACAGATTAATTACCTGAGTTTTATCTAATTAATTTAGTTTGATTTCCATTAATTTACCTGCCTTTATGACCCATCTCTCTCACAGGACTTCCCCGTTATTCACCAGATTAGAGGAAAAATTTTTTCCCGGTAATATTTTTGGGGTTCATACATTGGTGTTTATTACTCCCTGGAAACGGTATCATTTCCCTGAATATTTATATGACATAACTTCCACTATTTACTATATAAAACTGGTAACTAAAGGTGTCATGTAATCGCAAATATATTCAGGAATTTTCTATTTTAGTGATTACAAGAAATTAGTGAAAATCTTAAGGTATAGCAGGACATTTCTAAACAGCGTAAGAATTCTGTCAAATCCTTATTTATAGGAGTCCGAGTAATATTATATGTTGAACAGGCATTATGAAAGTCTTATTAGATTATAAAATTGAATGAAAGTTATTACTGAATGTACACTAACTCAAATGCTCTATACAGCTTATTACAGTGACAAAAGTTCATTCATACTGGCTATTTCTAAAATTTCTACACAGCAACATCTCAAATTAAACAGCAACATTCTAACATACCACAAATTGAACAGCAACATTCTAACATACCACAAATTGAACAGCAACCTTCTAACATGCCACAAATTTAACAGCAACCTTCTAACATACCGCAAATTGAACAGCAACCTTCTAACATGCCACAAATTGAACAGCAACCTTCTAACATGCCACAAATTGAACAGCAACCTTCTAACATGCCACAAATTGAACAGCAACCTTCTAACATACCGCAAATTGAACAGCAACCTTCTAACATGCCACAAATTGAACAGAGACCTTCTAACATGCCACAAATTGAACAGCAACCTTCTAACATATCACAAATTGAACAGCAACATTCTAACATGCCACAAATTGAACAGCAACCTTCTAACATGCCACAAATTGAACAGCAACCTTCTAACATATCACAAATTGAACAGCAACATTCTAACATGCCACAAATTGAACAGCAACCTTCTAACATACCGCAAATTGAACAGCAACCTTCTAACATGCCACAAATTGAACAGCAACCTTCTAACATGCCACAAATTGAACAGCAACCTTCTAACATACCACAAATTGAACAGCAACCTTCTAACATGCCACAAATTGAACAGCAACCTTCTAACATGCCACAAATTGAACAGCAACCTTCTAACATATCACAAATTGAACAGCAACATTCTAACATGCCACAAATTTAACAGCAACCTTCTAACATACCACAAATTGAACAGCAACATTCTAACATGCCACAAATTGAACAGCAACCTTCTAACATGCCACAAATTTAACAGCAACATACAGTACTAAAAAATGAACACCAAAATCCCATGGTACGAATTACCGAACAGCCAAACTCCAGTTTAGTTCATCAAATATGTAGATATAAAGCCCGATATATTACTTCTGAGCATCACAGCCCTGGACGAGTACTTTACATTTAGCGGCATTACATAACTCTCCCAACAGCCACCAGGAAGAACATCAAGTGAGGCCACAACACCAAACCTTTTCCCCGAGTAACAGATACTCCTTAACTATATACCAAGATATTATTAGTACATTAGACGAATTAAACTACAACAATGCAAGTAATTTTTCCTCTCATTATAAGGTGCAGATAAGGAATGTTAAAAAGTGTGAAGGAAAATTAAGTTACTCAATGCAGAGATTCTTTTAAGAAGCTCAATAATTCTGCCATCTTTGTGTGTATGTATTGTTACGCCGTCTCTTAATTTACTTTAATATCCAAGGTTCTAGGCGTAACCAAACAAAAAGTAAAGTGAAGTAAATCAAAAGTGAATATAAATAAATAAAGTAAACCTTTAAGAATTTAATTAAACAAAATACTAACACACTGAAGAGCCTCATAGGCTGTCACAACAAATTTATTCACTATCGAAACCTTTAAGACACAAATGATACTAAACATCGAAACATCAAAGAACTGCTTAAATATATAGAATAAAAATAAAGCACTGGATTACGTTAACACTACATAAACATATTAACTAACACTGAAATTAACTAACGTGAAACAACACTGAATTACTTAAATGTAACTAAGCAAACACTGATGGACACATAAGAGACAAGAATAGGTACTCACATAAATATACCACATTGGTGGCGACAGGAACAACACAGAAATAAAATGAAATATAAGTAACAGGTGACAGGTGTCACTCAAAACGACGTGAACTGAAGGACAAGAGGACTGGACAGGCGTCCGTCTACAGGTGGAGTACTATATATATGGTCGGTTCCCGCCAATGCTACGAGCCCGTGAAACATGGGTCGTTTAACGATGCAGATGGTCGTTAGAGAAACAAAGAATGCTTGTTACAATACTAAATGAAGAAATAAGATGGGCTTGAACAAATAATAACAGTTAAAACCTTAACAGCACAGGGTAAGGTGACTAGATTATATAATAGTAAATACAACACATCATTACAGGAATAATATGGAACAACATGGAAGCATGTTATATAAAAAAAATAGAAAAATACGACACGGTCGTAACAGTATGTATGTATGTATGTATATATGTATGTATGTATGTATGTATGTATGTGTTGTACGAATAATCATATAGGTGTATTGCATCTTCAAGAACATATATTTGATATAAGGTGACTATAATGTACTTATATAAACCCTACGAAACATAATTGTACATAATGATCAACTGTATCAAGGGAGACATGCCAGTAGGTTGCCGGAGTACATATTATGTTTTGAACCAGCACCTGCAGTAACATTTTCTCAGAAGAGAGTATTTGCACCTGGTTCCTGGTCATCTGGGAGCTTTCCTGTGTGTGTCAGAGAAGCTTCACCGTCATTAGCCAGTTTCCTTCTTAGCCACTGCTGGTCCGGAATATCCTCCTGGCCATTTGGTAAGACCCTAGCGAGGTCACCTGCAGCAGGGTTAAGAGGCTTCACAACCCACGGCTCTCCTCTTTATACGTATATTTATCTGTTCTTTCTTTTACTTATTTTTCCTTTGATTTATGTATTTATCAGCTTAGTAGATTATCCCTCTTCTCAGTATTTCATTTACTTTAGAAGTTGTTGAAAATTGGTTTTATTATTTGTTGAACTTTTTCTCTTTTTTAGAACGGGACCAAATAAATCAGGAAATATGAGTGCAATTATTTTTTCCCTCGTGATAAGTATGCCATTTGGGTATAATTTATTGTAGGTAACTATAGCAAATCTTTTTGATGGTCCACTGTATAATATTTTGAGGATAATATATGTGTGTGTGTGGGAATAATACTGTACATTGATTCAGAAAAACAACACAATGCTGACACACCCTAACCCCCCCACCCCCACCACAAAACACTGAGGCAACACCTGTCTAGCCCTGCCTACAACACACACACACACACACACATTCTTTGTTTATGTCTATTCCTTCTACTCCCCCACTCACATTATGCCTTTTCCTAACTTTTATTCACCTTTCCTCTTCCCCCACTATCTCATCTCCTTCCTTGACTAATCTTACCCATACTACATCTTTCCCTTAACCCCCTCCACCCAAACACTCGGCTCATAATTTTACATTCATCTACCCTCTTGTTCACGCTCTTTTCACACCGTCCCATCACTCCCTTATGCTCCCTCCACACCTCCCTCCCCAATCCCTCCTCCATGCTCACTCCACACACCCCTCCCCAGTCCCTCTCCATGCTCACTCCACACCCTCTAATATCTCTCCCATGCTCACTCCACACCCTCTAATATCTCTCCCATGCTCACTCCACACCCTCCCATCCCTTCTTCATGCCTACTCCACACCCCCCCCCCATCCCTCTCTCACCCTCCACCTCCCTTATTGTTGGAGTCTTTTGAAGGTGGAAGCGTGCTAGTGGCTGACATGATACATATAAAGCAATAACAACATTATTGCTTCTCTGATGTCAAAGCTTCAAACGTCGGTCACAGGATTCAGGTAAAAGCTGTCGCTATCAAAGAGTGTTATAATTATTTACTCCGTTACTGATCCCTTTCCTCCAACACTGAAGCTATTCTCGTCAAATTAGGATTGTTTACATATGTATTGTACCACCGGTAGCCAGCTAACAGCCAGATCTACCTCTGACTGACAGGTAGGAGTCAGATGTAAGCTGAAAGGCAGCTAACAGCATCTCTACATCTGGCAGACAGATATCTGCCATCTCTACCCTTAGATAACTGGTAGACAGATCTACCTATAATAGACAGCTAGTATTACCACCTCTACCTTTGACAGACAGCTAGTGTCAACAGGTCTGTCGTCTCTGTCAGTCAGTATCTGTCGCTACTAACATCTACGACTCTCATCACCCAATTGACGTTACTAAGAGCATCCTTGATATTATAACGAGTAGTCAGTCACCACTAGCGGCAATATATACCTCAGGAAGAATTCAGCATTATCTCTTGACAGTCAGCAATCAATTTGACTCAGTAACAGAATCTCAACCAGTCAGCAGCCAGCAGCCATCACCACTGACAGTATCGGTCTCAGTAATCGCGTTTGCCCAGGTTGAAAGCACCTTAGTTCTTAATAAGGAACGAAACCCTGAAGGTAGTATCACTTTTTCTTATTAATGACTACGTGTGTTCTGAGGCAATATTAATATCCTCCAACACAGGACAAGTTAAACACACACACACACACACACACACACACACACACACACACACACACACACACACACACACACACGCACACACACACACACACACACACACACACACACACACACACACACACACACACACACACACACACACACACACACACACACACACACACATCTCCCTGGAAACTGGTAATAAAATTAAGTCCAGGAGTGTTTACGCCAAGAGGCTAACATAATTGCGAGTCTTTGTGTAAGTCGATGTAGGAATACTGGAGGAGTTCAGATCTTTCTATACCTGTGAAAATACAGTAAGTGTGTGTGAAGGAGAACGAGTATTTAGGTGAGAAATATTCAGTACGGTATGTGGTGTATTGACGAAATTTATAAGTGAAAGATTATAGAAGTAAACAGCAGTATATAGTGGAGAATATGTTCACTGCTTCATTATGAGGGTCGTAAATTACTGTGCGAATGAGTACCTGTTGCGCTTGCACTTATTAGGTTATATATACCAGTATATACAGTGTATGTATATATATATATATATATATATATATATATATATATATATATATATATATATATATATATATATATATATATATATATATATATATATATATATATATATATATATATATATATATATTTTTTTTTTTTTTTTTTTTTTTCCGAGTGATGTAATTAAGAAAAAGTGTAAGAATAATAATAAATAACAGTAGAGGGACGTCGTGTAGTGTAACTGTGCCCCAATGTCGTCAGGAATAAAATATGAATAAAACCTTTTCCGTTTTTCGTTAAAGCTTTTGGTCTGTACTGTGTCCAACTTTCAGCTTCGTAACTCAAAGAGTGCCCGAGATATCGCCTGGACAAGCACCTCAGAAACATACAAACAAACAAACTGAGGAACTACTGGTACTCATATACTCAGGGCACGGGCTGCGCGAGGCACCTGGAGGCGGAAATGATGAAGGAGGAGGAAGGTGTACAATAAAACATTTAACAGCGCTACACTATAGCCCTCAACTAACCTAAGATATTGACTCTCCATCAAGAACTGTTTTCATATTTTAGTGAACTGACACATTTACCCCAATAAATATATTATGTTTCGCTTTACTATAAATTTTATCGGAAGTCAGACGCAGGTGCTTAAATATCAAGTTAAAGAAGAAAGGTTAATCTTGTTTATGTCCATCAGTCTTGTAATGTTAAGAGAGGAGCTGGTGTTCTTCCTCCCAAGTCGCCAGGTAACACACGTGGGTGACCTGTCACTGTACATGACAAGTCACTAATGCTGAAGACGCAGGAACTGTCACTTGAAAAAGGTATCAGGTGGAGGAGAGATGGATATCGAGAAACAAGATTTCCACCAACAATCTATTCACTTAAACCCATAGAGAGTGTAAACAGGTGCTTTTAATTAGTAAAATTATGAAGAAAAAAAAAGCACCGGCTGAAGGAGTTATGTGAGGTGTGAAGTAGACTGGAGAAGACCCCTCGATAGGTCACGAGACTTCACAGAGATTAGATGTTACGTAAAAGGTAACCAAGTGGTTACT